TATATAGTATTTATTTTAAACTTGGATATGTGATTTTAATGCATAGCCAGGGCAAAGAGCCATTGTTTTGTACCTGGCGCAATGCTGTAGGGCATGTAATCAAGTGTCAGGCACCATAATAGACCTCAAAACAGCTGAGAAAAAACTTTGTGTATATATATATATATGACAAAATGGGTGATATTGATAGTTATACATATAGGAAGAATATATTATGTGAGGTGTACTAAAATCCTAGAGTCTTGTACATTTTAATGTTGAACGACAATCAAAATTAAGTTCAACCTCTTCACTTTGGGGTTGAAAAATTTCCCAGGATGTGGTACTGTTTACCTGTGACCATTAGGTAGTACTGGATATGTCATGAAGGGACAGTGTTTGAGGTGGGAGAGTAACATAAAAAGAGGCAGGAATAAAGATTACTTATTTGAGGAAAAATTCCAAGACAGGAGTGTTATTGTGACTAAGAGGTCCAGATTAGAAAGAGCTTTTAATCACCATCACAATACATTTAGACTCAATTCAGTAAGTACAAGGAATAATTTCACTTTAATAGTTGATTGGAGATTTATTTGTTAGGAAACTAGGTAACAGAGTTTATCATGAATAAATCATTTCTCTCCCCAAATTGAAACTGAAATGGCATGTGTGCATTTTTGGACTCTTAGCTGGCAAGCCTTGTCTGGGGCAGACCTTCTCTAGATGTCTTTTAGGTAATCTCATGTACCTCAAAGGAAGTTCTTTCCTGAAAATTGATTCTTTGTAGCTTTTTGATATTGAAATTTTTGAGTAAGAATTGATTCCTCTCAGCACGCAACTTCTTTGGAAGATAGAAAGATGTTTTGCACTTCTGGCCCTCTTAGGCTTCTCTGAAATGTTTGACTTGTGGCCCTGTTTCTTGTTTTTCATCAGTCTGTCTTTTAATTCCCTTGGTAGAATTCTGATTTGCCTCTCTCTTGAGCTGTTGTATCCCTTTGTCTTTTATTTAGGAGAGACTATTATATTTTCTAAAATTTTTTTTTCATTTTACACAGAACCATTTGCTCATAATGTAAAGTTGTATAGTTGTTCTGTTGTACGCTGTCTTTTGATTCTTTCCTTTTTCCTTGTATATAGATTCCAATAAGGAACTCATGTGGTTGTTCTTTGAATGTTGCTTGTTTTTGAAGGATGCCTTCTGGACCACCATTGTGTAGACGGATAGTGTGAGGGATGAGCTCTGAGAATATGATAGTTGGCAGCTTGACCAATTTTTTCTTATCCACGCGTGAGGTACACATGTGACGGGAATGACTGTTCTAGGTTAGCAAGAAATCTCTCAAGTCAGTAGGAAGCCTCTGGCTCAGAATGATGTTATCTCATTGCAGTTTGTTTTTGTTTTACTTTTGAAAAAATTGGAGATTCTCAGAAAGTTGTAAAGGTACTCAGAGAGCTGTGTACCCTTCAGTTACCTCCAGTGGTTACTGCTTACATACTTATAGTACGCTATCAAAACAAGAATATTGACATTGATACAGTACCTGTGTGTAGTTCTATTTTATCTTATTTATTGCATGTGTAGATTCATGTAACTTTCACCACAGTCAAGATACAGAACTAATCCATCACCACAGAGAGCTCCCTTATGTTACCTTTTACAGTCATACTCACTACCTTCCCACAACATCTCTGCCTTCTGGCAATGGCTAGTCTGTTTTCTGTCTCTGTAATTTTGTCATTTTAAGAAAGTTACGTAAATGAAATCATAGAACATGTGAGTTTTTGTTTTGGACATCTGATCTTTTGAGATTGCTGTGTATGTTTAGTTGTGTAAGAAACCACCAAACTTTTCAGAGTGGCTATACCATTTTCCTTTCCTATCAGCAATGTATGAGAAGTCCAGTTTTTGTCACATCTGCACCTTCATTTGATATTGTCACCATTTTAAATTTTAACTGTTTTGATAATGACTGTGGTGATATCATTGTCTTGATTTTTATTTGAAGTAATCTCTTTGTGGTTTTGATTTGCATTTCCTTAATGACTAATGCTGTACTTCTTTTCATGTGCTTATTGACTGTATATTTTCTTGGAGAAATGTCTGTTTAAATCTTTTGCATATTTTTAATTGGTTGTCTTTTTGTTATTGAGTTATAAGAGATTATGCTATTTATTCTTTTTTCTTTTGTCACTTGTGCTTTTGGTGTCAAGAAACCACTTCCTAACCCAGAGCCATGAAGATTAACTCCTGTATTTCCTATTAAGAGTTTCACAGTTTTACACTTAGGTGTACACCCTTCTTGAGTTAAATTTTGCATATGATATAAGAAAGGGGTCCAACATTCATCTTCTGTATGTAGATATATAGTTTAGATATATGATTTAATTTTGACTACTTTTTGAACTCTATATAAATGCAATAATATAGTAAGTGTTCTTCTGTGATTGGTTATGTTTGTGAGATTTTTATATATTGTGTGGAGCAGTAGTTCATTCTCATTGCTATAAAACATTGACTGCATTTACAGAAGTTCTTCACCCGTTCTATAGTTGATGATATTTGCTTGTTTCTAGTTTGGTTAGTAGAAATAGTGCTGTTGAGAACATTCTTACATGTATAGATGCACATAACAAGCAATCTCTTGAGTGTACGCATAGGAGTAGAATAAAAGTATATTTATATATTTAGCTTTAGTTTGTTGGGTCAGTTGCACCCATTTACATTCCCACTAGCAACACGTGAGTTCTGTCACTTCACATTCTTATCAACACTTGATTTTGTCAGTCTTTTTATATTAATATTTTAGTATTCCCTTGTGGTTTTAACTTGCATATCCCTGATAACCATTGAGGTTAAACATCTTTTCATATTTATTGGATATGGTATTAGTCATTTAGATATGGCTTGGAAAAACACTTCTTTTACACTTACAAAGTTGGTGGCTGTTGTGGAGCTATATGTGTTCTTACTCTGAGAATCAGGCTGAAAGTAACAGCCCCTATTTTTCTGCTTGGATTTTGTGTATGTCATGTCCATATGTATTACATAGGCCAAAGCATATCACAAAACTGTGCTCAAAGTCAGTGGGTCAGGGCAGTGTCCTCTCTCAGAGGCACTGAAAGTCACATGGCCTTAGTTGGGAATAAGTAGTTCTTTCACAGGAAAAGGAGAGGGCACAAATACTCTGGAACAGTAATAAAGTATACCACTTTACTTGTGAGGTGTCTGTTCAACTCTCTTGTCCTTTCCTGTTATCTTGACTTAGAGATTCCCAGTGCAGCCCCTGCCTCACCAGCCTAGTTTTTTTCTTTTTCTTAGTAAGTTCTGGATATAGAGTCTTTCTTGGTTGTATGTATTACGGGTATTTTCTCCCACTCTATGACTTGCCATTTTAATTTCCTGTTGATGTCTTTTGATAATAAAAATTTTTAATTACTTTTTTTTGTTATCTTCTACAGTCTTTATTGTTTTTCCTTTTACATTTCATTCTGCAGTCCACCTACAATTAATGTTTAGTTGACATTTTAAACTACTCCTGAAAGTCCGAAGTAGAGCTAAAGTGATTTCTAAGTGGTTTCCAGGATTAGGTTAATTCAGTTTACATAATAGAAGCATATTGATACTAAACTCACATATGTATAGAATATATATCTATTAGTAATGCATACTTGAAACCAAATTCCTCATATATAAAAACACATTGAGCACATTTAAAGTTTTACTATGTTTAAAACTGCAGTAACTTACCTTTCCATATCCGCTAGTGGTCAGCTGCAAAGTCTATCTTTGGCTGCCAATATCTTTATTTCAGATATTATCAATATTTCAGTTATTATCAAAATCTTTGCTTTTAGTGAAGTCATAATGTTGGTCTTCCTGGAATTCGAGATTTTCAGTTTTATTTCATCTTATATGCTCACTTAATTCCTTCCTCTTGTTCCAGGCTGTCTCTATAACCTTATAGTGAAAGAACCAAAGGGAATAATTTCAAGATGGCTAATAAAGGAATTGTTTAAATAATTATTCTTACTATTCAAACATGTAGTTGGTTTGCCTTTCTTCAGCAGAGGCTGAAGTTGTTCCCTACAGAAGTGGTTCTTAGACCTAAACATTAAATATCTGTCAAAGCACTATTGCTATTATAACATTTATAGGATAGTTTGGGGATTAGGTTTTATCCTTTAATTAGACTGAAATATTTGTTCTTAAAGATGGATCAAGCTAAACAAACTATCATTTGAAATAGGTTGGTTTTAAATTTATACTTGGTGTTTATTGTCCTTCCTAGATGTAAACTTTTTAATCTTGGTAATAGACCTTATGTTTACAATGAAAAGATTTGTCTGATTTGTCTTTTAGCATTGACAATTCAGCTTTGGAATTGATCAAAACTCTTACCTGAAAAAAAGAGTAAATTACTTAGATAGTAGTTGTTTAAGAAAAAGTACACATTAAAAATCATTTTGAAGATTAATGGGTGAAAAATCACTTATAAAGGATTTGGCCAACGTAGAAATAAATTGCATCTTTGTGTTAAAAAAAATACGTATGTATGGGAAAGTTGGGGAGTGCTGCACAAATTATTTGTATGCAAATACTTTAAAGTATATTACAAAAACTTAACATACTTAATATACCAAATATACTTAATATATACTTAAAAATATACTATGAAAACAATGTCAGGATGTAAACCTAAGTATGGTTTTTGGTACTTCAAACATAACATCTCAGAGGATTGGGTATGGAATATTAAAAAGGATTGTGGGATTATGCCCCCAATTATGGAATGGCAGTTCTGTTTGGTTTTTTTTTGTAACAATCATGTGGATATGCAATAATTTTTCATTACTGTTAAGTTCACTTCCAACCTTTAGATATTGTGATTCTTGAGGACTTCCCCATAAATGGCTTGATATTCAGATGAAGTAATACTATTAGCTTTTAATAGTTTCAGAAGTAAATATGGACCATTATCCAAGACTTGTTTTATTAACAGAATATTGCTCTTGCTTTTCAGCGGGGATCTGATGAGCTTCTTTCTTCTGGCATCATTAACAGACCCTTTACCATGAACAATTCCACTTCTTCTACAGGTGTGTATGGTGAGTTTTCATTTTTTCGAAATATAAAATGTTTTCTTTCCCTGGGTTTCAAAACAATTCTTTCACAATGTTTTAATTTTGCTTATCTTATAAACATGTTGAAGTGCTACTATTTGTAACAAGAACTAAAATTTGTTGCAGTGAAGTTTATGTAGATGAAATTACTAGTTACAGCTCTCTTAAATTTTAAGGATTAATTTGGATCTAATTCTGTAATTCTTTTTTTGATTAACATTCTTTGCTACATAGTTATGATAAAATTATCAATAAATTGGTGATTTGGAACTATTGGGTAAAAGAGCTAGGTTAAAAAACTTGTGATGAATACTGATGGATTTAGAATAAAAGTATTAAAACTATAAGATCACATTTTAAAAAACTGAAACATAATTCACATCCCTTAAGGTAGCACATGATTTTAAAATTAAATGTTCTTGAAGTTTGAGGACTGTGAAATGAAAGGGAGGAGTGCAGTACTAGAGTAGATAGCTACCAGTTAAGAGGCTATTGTTGTACAGGAAATCCTAGTAAGGGAGGGTAATTTATACTAGAGCAGTAGCAGTTGTGATGGAGAGAACTAAAGAACTTACAGATGGTGACATTAATAGTAATTGATGATTAACTGAATGTTTGAATAAGGGGATCCATTGACGATTTACAAGTTTTAGACTTGGATAATTGGATAGCTGAATGATGGTGCCTTCATTTATATTGGTAAATACAGGAAGAATAGAATTGGACAACATGGCAAGTTCAGATTTTTATGTATTGAGTTTGAGGTTCCTCTAGAACATCCAAATGGAATTGTCAGGTAGGCAGTAGGTTCTTCTGGTCTCAACATTGTAAGAGAAATTTGGAAGACAGTTGACGACTAAAGCCATGAGAGCTGGGAGTCTCAGAAAAGGTGAGATGTTTTTGGAGTTATAGGGAGTTAGGGAAAGATTGGATCTCACTTTCCAGACCCTGAGTTACATGGTGTTTGGGAGAGTGAACAACCTTTATGTGAGGACCTTATAAGAGAAGTGGAGTAGGTTCAGTTAAGACAAAAGATGAAAAGAAAATTTAGTGAAGAGATTAAGAATTATGGGAATTGGTCAACCATGGTACATTGCTCTAGAAGACTAAATGGAAGGATTTTGTGGGCAGGGCGTCAGTAGGGGGTTTGTTCGTATGGAAGTTTGAACAGTGATACAGGCATGAGACTAAGGGGCTTTCTCATACTTGAGCTGACATTAGTGTCACCCGGAGGGCTCGTTAAAGCACAGTTGCTAAGTCCATCCTCAAAATTTCTAATTTGGTAGATTTGGGATGGGCACCGGGAATTTGCATTTCCACAAGTTCCCAGGTAACAGTGATGCTGCTGTTTGAGGAACCACACTCGAAGAGAACTACTGGATGAAGGAAATGCTAGAATCTAAAGTTCCTGAACCTGATTAACCTCTTAATCTGGTAGGCTTTTAAGAACATTTCTGTCCTTACTCCCTAGAGTTATAGTACGTCTAGGGTGAGGCCCATGTGCCTGTTCTTATTTTAAAACCTGAGGTCAGTTTGTTTGGTCATGTTTACAAACTACTGGGATGGATGATCAGAAACACTGACATTCTAGTTGACTGATTACTTAGGAAAAGAGAGTATGAGTTGTGAGCTTAGCTGGCAGCAGCAGTCTGTTGTATTTTGTTATGTTCTGGATTTCTTTTTGTATCTCATTCCATTCTAAATTCAGCGTTTCTTTTCCTGAAGTGCATCCTCTTTAGTAACTATTTCAGCAAAGCTCTATAAATGATAACCTCTCAAACTGACTAAAAATATCTATTTTGATATTGCTATTGAATGGTAGTTAGCTGTTTAAAATTCTAGGTTGACAGTTATTTTCTCATAACTCTATGAAGATACTATTTTATTATTCTTTTGGCATCTTTTGTTGAGAAGTCTTGTCAGTCTAGGTAATTATTTTGTAGAAAAGTATTAGTTCTCTGTAGTTGTTTTAACGTTTTTCTCTTTAATTTTGTTCTGCAGTTTCACTAGCTCTGTCTAGGTATGGATCACTGGTTCTCAACCCTGGATGCTCACTAAAATAGTGTGGGAAGCATTGAAGAAAATACAGATACATTGACTTACTCCACACCAATTCCAAAATTTCTGGTGGGGGAGAGCAGTTTAAGGTCTATTTCTAATTTGTTTTTAAAGCTTTTTAGGTAATAACATATAACATGCAGCCAAGGTTGAGGACCATTGCTGGAGCTTACTTTCATTTATCCTGTTTAGGAGTGACCCAACCCTCCGCAGAATTACCTCCTTCTGGAACTTCAGTTAGATGTGTAAGGACCACCTCATTTAGTTCTGCATTTGTTTTAACCTCTTACGTTTACTGTCATCTCCTTAAGGCCATATATTTTCAGTAATTTCCATGAAATGACTTTCTGTTTCACTCATTATCTATTCAGCTTTGTCTAATGTGCTGTTTAATTCTTCTATGGGTATTTGATTTCAGGATATATATTTTTCTTTTTTTATGTTCTATTTGATTTATTTTTAAACACTATCTGGTTTGTTATTTTCAAAAAAAAAAACAGTATGCTGTTCTGTTCTTATGGTTTCTATTGCTTTTTTCCCCCTAATTTTTTAAATTATTTAAAACAAAATTTTTACAGTCTCAGATTTTACAATTATGGATTTCTTGGGAGTGCTAATATTTCTGTTTTTTCTGTCTACTGATATTTGCTGATAGTATATTATTTTTCCTTGATTCATAATTTTTGGTTTTGAGATAATATATTGCTTAATTATTTTTTCTTCTGTGAGAATCTTCAGGGTAGTTTTGTGTTTACTTTGCTAGTGTATCACCAGCCCCTAACATGTTCTAATATATATGTTAATTTATTGCTTTGGGGATTCCTACCAGAAAGGAGAAAATTTAAAAATCCAGACATTTATATTTCCCTATTCAAATCCCTGAACAGATAGACTTTCTTCCTTTCTTTTTTTTAATTGGGTTAAGTCAGTTTACAATGTTGTGT